TTTGTACGAACCCTTTATACGAACAAAAGTAAGAGAAATTTAGGATAAGAATACAAACATGTTCTTGCATGAGGCCCATTGATCTGTTCTTGTTACCTTTGACTCCAGTGAACCCAGGAAAGCCTGGTTGTCCGTCTTTCCCAGGAGATCCAGGAAAACCTTTTTGACCTTGGTTACCAGGAGTTCCTCTCTGCCCATCAGAGCCTGAAATTATAAACAAATTCATAAAAATGAAATCTAAATCTGCTATGTAAATAATACATAGATGTAGAATAGTATTTTACCTGGGCCTCCTGCTAGTCCTGGATCACCTTTCTTTCCCTTCATCCCTTCAATACCATCAAAACCAGTTATACCAATGTCGCCAGTTATTCCAAATAATCCTTTCGAACCTTAAAAAAAGGGAAATCAAACTTTTCAAACCAGCTAAAAACTGTTTGTTGATCAAATATAAAGCAGAAGAAACAACAGTTGTATGAGGTTCAGCTCATACCTGGTTCTCCAGGGAATCCATCCTCTCCTCTCAGTCCAGGAGTTCCTGGAAGGTCTATACGAAGGCCTTTGTCACCTGGAATATTTTTCTAAAATTACTAACACATTAAATAGCTCATTCACAGTTACTTCCTGTTTGATATCTAGATGTCTGAGGTTTMAATTTGAGCTTGTACCTTTGGCTCCCTTCCTTCCTTTTTCACCTGATGCACCATAAGCACCAGGGCTTCCTTTGCCTCCCTGAAAAATAAAGTATGCATAATGTTGAGAACTGATTTAACATGTTCATTTTGTGTTTTTTAAGGTCAATTATCTATTTTGACCATTACTATGAATTGGATGGACAATGAAAGTTATTCATAGATGTACAGCCAATAATTACTTTCCAAGAGTTTCATTAAAATCTGATCTTTTGGTTCATGCAACATTTTGAAATCCACTGAATCACATGATGTTTCAGGGGGTTTGCCCACCTTGTTTCCAGACATTCCATCAAAGCCCATAATGCCTCTGTCTCCTGTTGGTCCTGGCAATCCTTTGACGCCTGGCAGTCCCTGTGCTCCTGGATCTCCATGAAAACCTTTCTCGTTGCTGGGGTCTCCGGGAAAACCGTGAGATCCATCAAAACCGGGGTCACCAGGCAAACCTTTGGTACCTGAGGAAAACATAAAGATTCATTGTTTAATAAAGCTAAACATCAGGAGTGAGGTAGCAGAGAGGGTGAAAGGACTAATATCTACAGACCTCTTGGTCCTGTGAATCCTTGATTGCCTGGATCTCCATCTTCTCCTTTGGCTCCCTTTATGTCAAYGAGCATTTGCGGAGCCATCTTCCCAGGTGGCCCAGTCAGCCCACTCTCACCTGGCCACAGGGGTGATGGGAGGTTAGTTCTGTGTCTCAGTACAGCAGTGACATTAACTGCAGAGGTTGAGTCCTACCTTTCAATCCCTTCTGGCCTAGTAATCCTTTCAGCCCTGCTTGGCCAGGCATTCCAATCTCTCCTTTCAGCCCCTCTTGGCCCTTCTGCCCAAAACCACCCAGACGCCCATCAAAACCTGACATGCCAGAGGATCCTTTGCTTCCTGAAAAAGGGATAAGTCTCAGAAAATAACATTTTAGCTTTAAACATTTGTATAATATATTGTTTTTCTCAGGGTAAACTAGCAGTAGCAGTTTCAAAGAACCAACCCTTCGGTCCTGGAAGTCCTGGTCGTCCACTTGGTCCTGGTTGTCCTAGATCACCTGGTGTGCCAGGTTCTCCTATTGCACCACCATCACCATAAGCACCTGGTGTCCCTTTTAATCCCACTGGACCTGGAGGACCTGGATCTCCCTGTATCCCCCTCTCGCCGGTGATTCCTGATGATTTAGATGACAAATTACCAACAGGAACAAAGATAAAAAAGTTCTGACAGAGGTGTGTTTGTCTGTATTTTTCTCCAACCTGGTGGTCCAGTTTCACCATCAGGCCCCGGTGGACCTGATCTTCCAGGATCACCAGGGAACCCATATATGCCCGCTGGCCCAGGTCTCCCCTCTTCTCCTGCCAGACCTGGAGGACCTTTGCTCCCCTTCAAGCCTATCATACCAGGCATGCCGGCCATTCCTGATAAAATTGGTTGAATACAAATGAGACACCACAATGTTCAAACATTCCTTATGTACCAAAYTGAAAATGAAAGAAACGCAGCTGACCTGCATAGCCTGGCGACCCTTGGTCTCCAGTTTCGCCTTTTACTCCTTGAGGACCCGGTTGTCCTGGGTCACCTGGTGGTCCGGGTGCTGCTCCTAATACTTCACCATGAGCACCTTTTTCACCATCAGCCCCGTATCGACCGGAAGCACCAGGCACACCTGGGTTTCCTACTGAACCTTTTCTGCCAGGAATTCCAAGGTCTCCACGAGGTCCAGAGAAACCTGGGTTTGTAAATTGTAAAATTATATTATAT